CGCCGCTTCAAACAGTCAGATGCGAACGATTTATCGGGTATGTTCGACGCAGCTAATAAGTTGGGTCGAACGAATCTGAGTTTGTTGCATTCTGCACTCTGCAGCATTCAACGAGATGCTCTCGGGTCATGTGAGGGTTTGGCGTTGTTGCTCGGTGGTACAGCGAGATGCGCATGGCTGATGGCAGACCTTGAGGGCCGCCACTCTTGCCGCGGCAAAGTACAAAGAAATCAAATCTGCCGTGAATGAGGCACATCACACAATAATCACCCTGCAGTGAATCGTAAGGGGCAGGTACCTACTAGATGTGGTCTTCTATTGCCGTGACACGCTTTTTGTTTGAGTTGAATGGCCAGATTGGAAAACATCCATGCACTACGCTGGGCGCCCGTAAGACCCTCTAGCGCCAACGGCGCAAGCAATTTTGCCCTGAAATTTCTGCATGATTTGCGCCGAAAGTTGGGAGCCTATATGTGTCAAAATTAAGCCACTTTTATATAAAGCACATGTGCACATCTATCGAACAAGGCTATATCAACCAGACAGAGCGTTGCGGAGCCTTGGACGCTCTCCCATATAAATTTTTCATTTCCACGGAAACCCAATTGTACCTCATTGGGCTTAGCGCCGTGCCGTAAAACAAGGCCGGAGCCGGAAGTTCCAGGTCCACAAAAATCGGCGGAACGGTGTGTTCGAGGCTGGCGGGAGTCAGCGAGGGCCGGGCAGCGGAGCAGCACGTGCTCCGGCACATCAGCCTCTTCTCGGCGCAGAGCGCCGCGGGGCACCGCTTGTCCGGGCATTGCTGGCACGCCGCGGAGTGGAGACAGCCGATTCGGTGCACGTACTGGAGCGCTTGCGGCCCCAGTGGCCCGCATTTATCTGGTGCACCGAAACGACGTCCTCCCGGTCCTCTCCGGGAATAGGGAGCGCCGGCGTGCTCCCGAGGAGTGGCTTGAATAGTGACTCGGACCAGTTGTCGCGCCATTGATGCGAGGCCGCACAATGCACCGCCCTGGTCAGCGAGCGGGCGTTTGAGTTCAGGGCTGCCGCTTGTTTTGCCAGGTCGTCTGCGCTCTCATTCCCCTCGATACCGCAGTGGGCAGGAACCCACTGCAGTATTACTTAACGACGCTCCTCGCTCGGCGATGTTCAACCAGGTCTTCCATAACCATCTCCATGCCGAGAGTTGAGGCCTCACCTGGGCGGCCGTTCCTCCGCTGAGAAGACTCAGGGCGGCTCGCCAGTTCGAGCACGCGACGACCGGGGCGGGGACGTCTCGTCCCGAAACCACTCCAGAGCCACGGCCAATCCCCCCCCCCTAAGATCTCGAGATTGAACCACACAACATAGCGACAAGCAGCAAACGGTGTTGGATAGCCCCAATAGCGAACTACCTTGTGACCAAATTTCATTGACCTAGGTCGACCTAGGTCAAATCGATGACGTCACAGGTCAGGTCAAACGTGAGTTTTCACCGTTTACAGACATTTCAAGAAATGCGTTGTAAAATCGAGTAAAATGCATTTCATTGAAAATCATCGATGGGGAATTGTTTATCAAACACATATTTTGCTATTTGAGGTCACTGATACCAGGTCAGGTCACAGAGGTCAGGTCACTGAGGGTTACAATATGAAAATATCATGTGATGCACGTTTTATGGTCCATCTTATATGCCAAACGCGATTATGTGGGTCAGGCAGCCTTTGGTGCCAGTTAAGATTATGTTCTGGTGAAGGTCAGGTCAAGGTCAGGTCAAGGTCAGGTCAAATTGAAATTAGGTCAAATTTCAAACTTGATATTTTTGCATAAAACAAAAATGGGTATCGATTCGATGCAGCTCATCACGGGAAGTTCAATTGTGATCTTTCTTTTGCGCTATGTGGTCTAGACTTGCTAAAAATTGAGTTAAAAAATTTGGTGTCATCAATTTTGAAGTTTTTTCGCTGTAACTTGAACTTGGCCAAAAAAGGAGGTAACGATCTTAAATTTGGTATGGAGATAGAAGGGTGCAGGGACTATCACATATATTCCATTTTTCGAAATTCAAAAAACTTTTGAGATTTTTCGGGTTTCGGTTATCTGGCTTTGAATGCCACAAACAAATCAATTGAAATGTAATTCAGCACAGTACCTACCTAAGGTACAACAGCAATGCCCTAAATCATTGTTTGCACCCAAATATTATTTACAACTGCCGGAACACACTTCAATATACAGTATCACACAATGTGACACAACACAACACAACCAAACACACACAACACAACACATCACACAGCACGCACACGGCACAACACACAACGGCGGCCGGCTAGTACTCTTGCCCGCGCTCACATGTAATGTAATGTATTTAATGAGACAATCCTCGATGTACTCGGGGCTATTACAGTCTCAGTTATGTAGTACAAAGCATGCAACATATGTACACAGCATTTCCTGCCCTATCATAAACCACGCCTAGGTTGCTGTAAAAAAAAATAGCACATCTTATACACACACGAGACGAATCATCCACATTTAACAACAATCGCTCGATAGTCATTGCTCTAATAGTTCGGACATCGGACCACGTCACTCTTGCCCAGTCACGGTGCGACTGTCACATAGGTGGCTTACTAAGTGACTCCGGAAAGCTGGCGTCGAGCGTAACGTCAGATCATGTGGCAGCGCATTATACTGGCGAGGTGCACGACAGCAGAAACGCCTTCGTCCCATCTCTGTATGTGACATTGGTACGTACAATGTGTTGTTTTGTCTAGTATTGCGGTCACGGGTCTCCGAGCTTTTAATGAGATTTTCAGCCAGTGCTTCAGGTTCGCCTGCGCGACGTACTCTATGAACCATGCACATAGTGTGGTACTGGACGAGCTCATTAGCTTTCAACCAACCCAAACGTTGAAGCAGATCGGACACATGGTCAAATTTCCTGCGACGGAAAATGACTTTGGCGGCATAATTGATCACTTTCTGAATCCGAAGAAGATTTTTGTTTGTGGTATTACCATAAACGGATAAACAGTAGCGGATATGAGATAAAACTAAGGCATCCACTAGAATAGAAATGGTAGATGGCGGTAAATGGCCCCTCAGTTGCGACAATCCGGTAAGAATTCCGAAACAACGGTGCACAACAACAGAAACATGAGTGTCCCAGCTAAGGGCACAGTCAAAATGAACTCCAAGATTCCTCGCTTCGGAAACAGGAGTCAAATTACAATTATTAAATTTTACAACATAGCTGGAAATGTTTCGCAAATTCTGTGGGCTACCTAACAACATTAATTGAGTTTTCTCAGAATTAAGTTTGAGCCCGTTAGCTCGGAACCATGACCCCAGAGATTCCAACACTTGTTCCAGCCTGCTAACAACAAGATTGAATTCCGCCTTTTTACCACTGACTAAAATTTGTGTGTCATCTGCATACTGCACGATCATCGCATCATCAGCAAATAGACTGAGATCGTTTGCAAAAATGCAGTAAAGCAATGGACCTAGCGCTGAGCCCTGAAATACACCGATATTATTAGGGAGCGGCTTGGAGCATCGGAGGTTTCCCAAGCTGTCAGAAAATGTGACACTTTGCATATGGCCCATAAGGTAGCTTGAAAACCATGAGACATCAATCCCATGTAGCTGTAATTTTGTTAGGAGTTTGGAGTGGTCAATTACGTCAAAGCATTTACTTAGATCAAGCATGCACAGGAATGAAAGCTCTCCTCGATCATTAGCGGAGAGGATATAATCAGAGACGGTCAGCAGAGCTGTTTCGGTTGAATGGCGTGGACGAAAACCATGTTGAGTAGAGGAAAGAAGATGATTACTAGAAACATAACTGTAAACTTGCTGGTGAACGGCTCGTTCTACGATTTTGGCGATCACGGGAACTACCGAAATCGGTCTATAACTGGATGGTTTAGAGGATTCTCCTGACTTATAAATTGGAGAAACAAGTGAGTGCTTCCAAGAAGAAGGTACTTCAGATAGAGAAATACTAGAATTGACAATGTGCAGGAGCACATTGCCAATTGCAGCAAAAGATATACGGATCATGTGGATATTGATGCCATCCTGGCCACTGGCAGATGATCCGCTCATCTGAAATATCACATCACGCAGCTCTGGGAGAGTCAGTGGGGTGAGCTTAAATGCACAGGCACCCACCCGCGGTAGGCGACATGGGAGGTCAGGGGTCGGCCCTGAGTTCCTTGCCTCGCTCGCCGCTCGTGGGCCAACGCTAACAAAATATTCATTCAGCTGATCAGCCGTTGCTGTAGGTAAATTTCTATCAGCCTGTTTTGTGCCCACAACAGACCTTATTGCTCGCCATGTGGAATTTGGACCTCCATCATTGATCCGCCGCTGAATGTCTAGCCGGATGTCGCGTCTGATGGCCGATCGTACAGCGCGATTCAGATTTTTGTACTCAGATGAGGTATGACCGCCGGTGGCGAGTGCTGCACGGCGGCAACGCATGAGCTCTCTCGTTTCCACACTTACTGGCGGGGCTGCAACATTTCGGATACGGAATGTTCTCAATGGAGCATGTACAATAATGCATGTACATTATTTTAACATACGTGCACGTTACCCCGAGGGCTGTTCACGGACCCTGTGTGCGGTCGGACCGCACACAGCCTCCAAGCTCCGCCCACTGCGTCCCTACGTCAGCCTTGCGTCACCGCACACAGCGACCGCTGTGGCCGGTCGGGACTGGCCACAGCGGACCGTCCACCGCACGCAGCCGTGACGTCAGAGCCGCCTACCCATCCCCTACCCCCACGCCTGCTGGACGTACCGCACACACCGCACGCAGCAGTGTGCGGTGCCCGTGAACACCCCTCCGGCAACGGGCTATTGACCAATGAGAAGCGAGAAAAGTGTTACGTCACTGCGATTTTTCATATACCTGTGCCCCCCGGACGTGACGTAGTGTGCTCGCGCGCGTGCAGGGTCTCTGCGATCGAAAAAGAGCGCTAGCAGCGCGCCACTCGACGCCGCAATTGTCAAAAGTCAAAAGTTCGTATGCTTTATTATGAATGATGTGTGTAAAAGTGAGTTTTTATGTTGTTTATTTGGAGGAAATGGTTGGAATAAATTAAGTTATTTTTATTTCTGTTGGTTGGAGTTTTTATTCAAAAGATTTCGGTCTATACCATTGATATTTACTGAAAATACTTTCGCTTGAATAAATTGCAGATATTTGGCAACTGAAGTGTTAGGTAAGCCTAAATGATATGTAAAAAGGTAAGAGACACCCTGATTATCATTTGAGAAACGAAAATATATGAATTTTCCTTATAAGACTCGCTCAATATGCTACTCCGCAGTTTATGCCCCGAGGGTGTCCGAGGGTTCCCGTTAGTTTGTCGTTGGCGCTCGGCTCGCGCGCGAGCCGACGTCACCGCCTGTGACGTCGGCTCGCGAAATACGTCATACCCTGCACACAAAATAGCCGGCTGCCGAACAGCGCTAAGATACGCACATTCACCGGTGTGCGGCAAATGCTCGATTAAGCCAATAGAATTAGAGTATCAGCGAGCGCAAGCCGCAAACCTTACTTACTGTTCATTCACATTAGGCTCTGAACAAAATTCCATCTGACAATTTTTTCGTCAGACGGTTCTTCGTCGGCAGATTTTCGTCTGACTTTTTCGTCTTGCATTTATTCGTCTGTACGAATTGATTTGGTGCATTTTTCTTCGGAGTGTTTTACTGTCCGGCATTTTTTCGTCTGGACGAGGCGGAAAATGTCCTTACGAAAAAAATGCGCGGACTTAAAAATGCACAGGCGAAAAATGCATAGACGAAAGTCTGCGGACGAAAATCTGCATACGAAAAATTGTCCGACGAAAACCTGCTAAACGGAAAAGTTAAACTGTCATGCTCATGGAATCATTGCTTATATTGGATGCTCATTGCGCAATGCCCATGGTGATTTGATGACTTGCAAATCGAATAAGTTTGACACTTGCTTGGTCAGTGGGTCAGGGTAGCTTCCAAGTAGCTTCAAGCCCGGCATATCACAACCCAGAAAACAAGGCCCAGAAAATATGTGAGGTGAGATTAGAAAAGAACTTTCCAAACCACCACTGTCCACTGTTTCACTTGTTTGACAGTTTCATAATCCATAACATTGATAATGTAAAAAGCTATCAGGTCTCTTGTTCCAGTTCTGCCTCACAGCCATGACAATGATTTGGCTCTGTATATGTCTACACAGTCTGGTTCTTGTTAAGTATTATTTATATTTATTGTCTTTACTTTATAAACAGTCTGGTTCATTTTCTCTTCATGTATCTATCTTAGCCCCTTGCAGCTGGTCGCTCAGCGGCTCAACCATGATATTTAGGTACTGAAGTGTTTACAGACAAAACCTAGTGCAGGGTCCTTAGTGGCCATGTGCAACATAAACCTCATGGTCCAGCTTCCAGGATTCTTGAGGTCCCTCAAGAATATGATGGTACAGATCCAGACCCTTCTCCTAAGATCCCATGACAAATAATAAAACTGGGACTGAAGGTCTGCATTCTGCAGGGTCTTGCAGCATATCAAAATTTTGAGGTCCTGACCCCCTGGGTTTCCATGGTTTCAGGGTTTCCATGGTTTCACGGCATATGAAATGTTGAGGTCCTGGGTTTCTATAAGGTCTCATGTTGATGTCACATGAAATGTTGATGTCCTGGGATTCCAAGGTCTTGCGGCATATGCAAATGTTGAGGTCCTGGGATTCCAAGGTCATGCGACATATGCAAATGTTGTAGTCCTGGGATTCCAAGGTCTCGCGGCATATACAAATGTTGAGGTCCTGGGATTCCAAGGTCTCGCGACATATGCAAATGTTAAGGTCCTGGGATTCCAAGGTCTCGCGGCACATGGACGTTTTAAGGTCCTGGGTTTCCAAGGTCTCACGACAAAAATCACAATGCAAGGTCCAGGATCCATCAAGGTCCCAGACCTTGGACTCTGCGAACCCTGGATCTCGGACCTTTTTGGGACCTTGGCACAAGTCTGGTGAGCAGGGCTGCGGAGTCGATGGATTTTCAGTGCCTTCGGCTCCGACTCCGGCATCTAAAAATAAATTCAGAATCAGACTCCGACTCCGGGTGGAGCTGTTGACTCCGACCGACCGACTCCACAGCCCTGGCGGGCCTGCGAAGTCGATGCATTTTCGGTGACTCCGACCCCGACTCTGACTCTGACTTTGACTTCCAAAGTCGACTCTGATTCCTACTTCGATTCCGGTCAAAACTGTCGACTCCGACAGACTTCGACTCCGAGTCTGACTCCGACCCCGCAGCCTCGCCTAGTGCCTGTGAGTTGTTGAGACACTTGTTACGCACTTAACAAAGCGAGAGAGAGAGAGAGAGAGAGAGAGAGAGAGAGAGAGAGAGAGAGAGAGAGAGAGAGAGAGAGAGAGAGAGAGAGAGAGAGAGAGAGAGAGAGAGAGAGAGAGAGAGAGAGAGGGAGGGAGGGAAATAACAAAATCATCAGCAGTGTCCACGGCCGTTATATCGAAACACGGGTGCTGATATGTCGGCTACCCCGTCTCAACGAGTCGAGGTAGAGTGTAAGCTGTAGGGTGTTCATTCCAGAGTCCAGATGGGTTGCCTATTCGTCGGTGCATTAGGGAGCAGACTGCCAACCAAGCTCAGCAGACCCAGTGCCGAAGCCCGACCCAAGGATCGAGGACAACCTGTGGAAAATATACCCAGACACGACCGTCTCAGGACAATGCAACGCGCCGGCACTTCTTATAAAACAGCGCTGCGATTGCAGCGACGCCGCCGTTCTGTGCCGACTCACGCACGGTGCGTGACGCGTGCCGTTCGCTCGGCGCGTGACACTGACACGCCGACACCTGACACCTGACACCCAGCTGTCAGTTGAGCACGTGGAGCAATCGACGCATCGCGCGGCACGCCGACGCTGCGGCGGCGCTGGCAGAGGGCGGCACTACGCGGCGACGATGCCCCGAGGCTATTTGCGGTCAGGTGGCCGCAGCGGTCGGAGCCTCGTGTGTGTGATGGTGGTCAGGTGAACGTGTGATGTGCTGGTTGATTAGTGACGTTCATCACTGAAGATATAGCGCAGTGGTGAGTCGACGAAGCAAAAGAACCGAGACTTCTATTGAAGACTAATGCCTACTGAGCTCATAGTGAAGTGATTGAATGAGTGCAAGTGCCCATTTATTCATCTTGCAGGACTCAAGATACGCCGTAATTTGTCGCTCGCTGACACCAGCTCAGCTCGAGTGACAACCCCTAAAGCGCCAAGACCGAGCGTCTGCGAAACACAACGCCCACCTAGCCAATAAATCGGCACATCGGGTCAGCGATCGCCGACTCGCATCGGGCACTGATTCGCGAGGTGGCCGACGTCCAATTCGGTTCGCGACCGGGGGAGGGGCGGCTCCTCCGTCCGTGCCAGAGGTGGAGGTACTGACTGACAGACGGACGGGCCGGGAGCGACAGACGAGGGTGCGGCCGCCAGTGACCGCCAGTGACGGTCAGTGATCACCAGTGACCACCAGTGACCGCGGCGGTGACCACCAGTGACCGGCGGTGACCAACAGTGACGGCCAACAGTGACACCAAGGGACACCCGGTCACCGGTGGCGGCGGCTATAACAGTGACCGTGAGCGCGAAGAGTGCTTTCTTTAGTGACGTCCCAGTGAGAATCAGTGACCATCAATAGTGGTAAAAATTGCCGACGGCCGCAGTTAAAGTCTGTGATCATTCGGCCAATGCAAGGCTTGTTCCAGCGGAAAACCGCCCAGTAACAGTAAGAGCTCCCCGGTAAACGGCTTGTCAGCAACACTTCTGGCGACAACCGTCTAATCGGCAACATTTGTCTTCGGCGAACGACGCATACAGTGGCTTTCGCGTGCGACTGAAATAGCGTTATTTCGGTGCGACGGGAACGTTCTTTTGTGGTGACGCTCATCACCGTCCATTAGTGACGGTCTGTGACATCCAGCACCGTCCGGTGGTGACCCCTGCGTGACCTGACCCTCGGCCCACCATGCCCGGGGAGCCGGGTGACCCTCCGGCCGACGACTGGGCCGAACAGTGCCTGCGCCGGTGTCGAGCGGAGGCCGTCTGCTCCCTCCGTGCCTTGCTGCAGGAGGACAGCTCCGACCCTTTACCCAACAATGCCAACGGTGAGACGACCCACGAGGCACGAGCTGAGGCACGGGGTGGTGTGTTTGGAGATGGAGGAAGGCGTAGAATCCGCCTCGTTTAGTGGCGTAAATGTTTGGGAGATCGAGAATGGGATGGATGTTTAGCGAGGCTAAATTAGTCACGTATGTAGATCAGCCAGTCTGAGACTCAAGGTAACTAACGATACAAGTTTGGTTGTATATTCATTCAATGATGACAAAATGTTGAGCTAAGTGACCTGATCGAGATGTGCCGCCTGATGCGTGTCCCACTGGCACTTCCCCTTCTACCACTAGTGAATAAAGGTGCACTTGATTCACAGGGGATCCTACACCATGCGACGCCGTCTCCGTGCTAACGACGCCGTCCCCGTCTGTTTCAGCCGCGGCTAGGCGCACCTCTCCGCCGGAGATAATCGTCACGCCGGCTGACACGGACGAGGACCGCGCCTGTCCCACCCCGCCTCTGCTCCCAGACGGTCACCTCCCGCCCGATACAGGGGGTGACCTCTCTCCACCGCCCAAACGCAGAGGACACTCGCTAAGGAAGCTGCTCACACGGTCCAAGAAGTCTCGCCGCGCTGAGAAGAAGGCACAAAACTCGGAGACGAGTCCCGATGTTGTCCGGAACACGGTCGAGCTGACACCGGAGTCAGCCTGCCGCGGCCCCGTCGGAAAGGCGGCGGCTCGGGCGGCCGCCACCGCCGCCGCCCGCCGCACCTCCCAGTCTGTGGAGAACTCCTCGCAGACCCGTCCGTTCTCCATGTCGATGCGCGCTCCGGCGCCGGTCGCCCCTCCGGAGCCCGATGACCTGGCGGTCCGGCTGAGGGCGTACACGGAGAGCGGAGGTCCGGGCCGGCCGGGGGCCGGGCGACACCAGACGGACAGCGCCAGCGCGCTCTCGGCAGAGTTCCAGCGGTACCTGGCGGCGCGCGTGGCAGAGCTGCGCGAGCGGCGCCGGCTCGGCCTCTCAGACGACCAGGTGCGAGACGAGTTCCTCCGAGAGGTCGGCGGAATGCTCAGGGAGATGGCCGACCAGCTCAGAGAGGCCCGGCTGAAACAGCAGGTCAGTAGCAGCCCTGCAAAGGTCTCTTTAAGACCGAACGGGTATAACCCTATGGAGCAACTAAACTCGGGTCAATAGCAGGATCACGGCCGGGAGAGGAGATATTTGGTGAATGCCCACCCCTTTATTTCCCTCTGTCACACAGGCACAGCACGGCGGGAAGGGGAAGTAATCGCAGCACCTTTCAGCAAAAAGCAATGTTCATTATAGCAAGCACAACTGTGCCTGTCACCGTAACTCCCTCTATCACCGTTGCACTCGGATACATCTCCCGTCAATGTCCCCTCTGACGTTTCCTCCCCTTCTCGTTGACAGCGGGAGCAGCAGCAGTCGCAGCCGGCTCTGCCGACCAGGCTGGTGGTGTCAGCGGCGCACCGGATCGGACGGGGCTTCCTGGCGGCTGGCGGGGCCGTCAGACACGCGCTGCGCTTCATCACACACACCGGGCACACAGAACAGGAGGCCTGCTGACGGCTGGAGCACGATAGAGCTGAGAGAAGCAGTCGGGCTACAACCAGACATTCTCGCCCGTCCGTGGCAGAAAAGAATGGCGACAAAGCGACATAACTATGACGTGTCTCACACGTTTTAAATATCCCTTTAGTGACGCAGGCGTCGGTCGTGTTGTTGTTGGAGAAGTATGATACAGTAAGTTACAACGATGGCTTCAAAGGGGAACCCAAACTGCTGGACACTGAATGGACAAGGCGTCGTTCTAGAAGAGTGTTATTGATGGTATTTATCGAGCGCTTCAATGAATTCTATGATCGCTCAATGCAACTGCAAGGATGAACGAAGTGTCTTCCCTGTGCGTCTTGTAGTTCACCCCAGTTTGTGTTACTCCGTGCAATGTTAGTGTTCGTGCGGATTGCAGAGCATCATGTGTGCAGAGAAGGAAAGGAACCAGACAATATCGAATCATATTGTGAGACGAGCCGCGGTTTTTGCGGTTGTCGCCCAGCTGTTCCCTGTACCACACGCACCGTCGCTGCTCCATATACCCCACCAGCTGCGGGCGGGCCGCTGTTTTTACGTCTGTCTGATATTCACACGGACACCTGTGCAGAGCTCAGCCGTGTTGGAGGGGGGAGGGGGAGAGTGAGATGTCATCGTGTCATCGCGGCTGCTAGTTGGCTGGTCGGTTAGACATCGCGGTGGGACCGGGAGGGGAGGGAGGGGAAAGGGGAAGGTGTTCGCTCTAGGTCGTGACATGTCGTATCACAATGAACTGAGGAAGATCTGTGTGTGTCTGTTGGGCGTCTTTGGTGACGATTGGCATTGCGTGTGTGTATTTGGCTGCCATTTGTGGGAAAACGTGAAGTGCAGGACAGTGGAGGTCGCACAACACCAGTGGGAACTGCAGTAGTACAGACCATAGAAATCGAGTTCTGCAACGAAATGTCAAATAAGTGTGGCTACTGAAAAAAAAATATTATGCCAGATCAAACAAATACAACACAACTATTTTTAACATGACATTATATTGTTCTTCGCCATCACAGACACGGCTTGACATTCAAATTCGTTCCATAACCGCTTTAAATAGGTAAGTGCATATGCAAAACAAATCAACTACAAGGAAAATCACAACCAACAACGACTACCGTCTAAATCACGCACTGAAAACGGTTCCCCACAACGCGTGAACATCAACCATACGGTATACATGTCTCAAAACGTCCCAGCTGACTAGGTTGAACACATCAAACGGAGACTTACAAACGCTCCATCACCCAACATTTTCATTGCACGCAACGAACAAACCCCGGACGCGGGCATTTTCAAACATATCCTGCTTGTAAGGCTAGCAGTCAGCCTGTCCGCCCTAATCTATGTACTCTCAAGTGGTCACTAGAGCCCGACAGGGCAGTCCGATTCGACCCACTGTATACTGATGAGAGACCCTGAAGACACACGGCGGGGTGATCTCAATGTCTTGGTACGGGGGAATCCATGGACAGGCGGAGACGGACATAGGGACACAGGGGTGAGCGGACGCTGCCGTGGCTAAGCGGACAAGGCGGACAAGGGGATAGTAGACTACGTGGGTTGCGTATATGTGATAAAAAGCGGGCACAGAGGACAGCGGACACGTAAACAGCGGAAAAAATAACAGCGGATGATGCGGACCCCGGACGCATCACCCACCCGTTACAAAGGACAGTGCCGAATGGCCCAAGCCGCATTGTTGCGATAGTCACACCACCAGGGGACGCTGCACCGTCAACAGACGGTCACAACTGGTGGACACACTGGGTTGGTCGTGGCTAGCGAATATCAAACCACTACCCAGTGCGAGTCCTAGCCTCCTGAAATGCCTCTAAATGCTACCGATATATCACATGCATGGATCACAATTGGGCAGTCAGTACACGGGACGGGTCGGAGCATGCCTCATGACTCGAAGCATGTCTTAAACTTGTTGAAATCAGTACTTTTAGCGGTATACTCAAAACCCGGATAATTGTCAGCTAGATTGTCTCCTAGGTAGACGCTGCGAAACCTACTGATTGGTATCACTGTGGTAACTGGGAGAGTACGGCCCTCCAGCAAAAGAGTGGTTGGTTAGCCTATGCGCTTTTGGTGTAATAACTTTCAATGACAGAGACACTCCTGTAAAATGACTCAATAGAAATGAGAAGAGGGTTCGTGCACAACTTCGGCAATGGTTTTCAACAGCCATTAAACGTATTCATCAATGCAGATCGCTTATTGTAATGTTGGCAACCAACCACTTTATACCTGGAGGGCCGTACATACATTCAAATCAGACAAGCAGGCAAACTGTTCGGATCGTGGGATGGGACATGGACCGAACAGATCATTCGCAGTACATTAGCCTCACAAGTCACAACCATCCACGACGAATCATACTAAATTGCAGCAACCACAAAAAAGGCCGGCCATGGCTCATAAATGGCAAATGCCCATATCGGGTGCTCACAAGAAGCTAAATATTCACACGCATTGACCACACAAGACGTGTAACACTACCAGTTCACTGTCTTCCCATATCACAGTGATACACATTGCCATAGTTGATAAGCTCGTGCCGTTCTAATCGCTAAGGAATATCGACTATGTACTGAGCGAGGAGCGACATTACAACACACTGCTCCCTCTTGCATGGCAGAGCATTCAGATAAAAATAAAGGTTGGTAACCATGCGGGGATAAGCATTCACTTATCATGCTACATTTAAACATCCATAAACCGTATATGTCGAAGCGTATAGCGTAAATGCCCTTTACAACAGTGGGAGGTTGGGAGGTTGTCAACTGTCGATCACGTAAATAGTTTGTTCGTCAATGAGACCCAATCATGGACTAGGCGGCTGCATGGCAAGGTGGTCCGGTTTGTCAACAGTATTCCACGATAATGCATGTCTAGGATGTCGCCCAATGCCAGCCCGGCTGCGGGTGACAGAAATTACTGCCAGACTCTCGTGGCTCACCCCTCCAGTCGACGAAGCTCCGAAATAAGCAACTTCATGGAAAAAAACATCTATCGACGAAGCTCCAGGACGCTATGACTTTTCCCCGCCTACCCAGCCCGGTAGGCTGGTTAGCAATTGGGTTCGGTCGTGACTAGCTCAAACGCTGCACTGGGCGCCCTCAGCTCGCGTCACTGCCACTGGCACCCTTAATCCGGAACGCTGGCGCCCTCAGCCGGATCACTCGCGGCTCTAGTCCCATTCAGATAAAAAAGTCTGAGCCTTTACGACAGACGTCCTCAGCTCTGGACACTGGCGCCCCCCGTCCGTACCACCGGCACTCTCAGCTCTGGACACTGGCGCCCCCAGTCCGTACCACTAGCGCCCTCAGCTCTGGACACTGGCGCCCCCAGTCCTCTCGTCAGCCAGCTCCAGCAGCAGCAGTTCTGTATCGTTCCCAGCCGCATCGGTCGGACTGAACACACTACTCTCGGCCGGCTGGCGGCCCGGCTCACCACTACTCCGGGTCACATCGGGCAGCGGCCATGGCTCGGGCTCCTGCTGTTCCTCCGGCCCGTCCTTCAGCGGCGGCGGGGGCAGTGTCAGTCCCGCGGGCGGCCGGTCCGGGCTGGCGGCGCGGCCCGCCTCTGACAGAAGGACGTGTGTAGCCTGACTGAACTCCTCCAGTTCGTCTGTGACGTCTAGCTCGGGTGTGTCTAACTGGAAGTAGCTTCGCGAGCGTGCCGGCCACAGGAGCTGAGTCATGATGGCGAACGCCAGGAAGTCTGCCGAGCCGGACAGAGCTGTAAAAGAGGAAAGAGGAGTCAGGTCACCTGTCGCAAGTAAAGTTCGACGAGCCTAATCTGTGTGAAGCACCAAACCATAACCCATAACGACCTCCGTAACTAATGACCAATGAAGTCTTGTTACAAGACTGGAAGTGCAATATTTACAATGCGTACGACATAATATACGCTGATGAATATTGTGTACAAAACAGACCCATGTTAAGACCCACTCCTTTTATAACAACCGGCCTGCTGTAACTACCTCACCCTGCATCCTCCGGGTTCGGCTAATCTCGGCAGCATCCTCCCCCCCCCCATCCCCAGCCAAACTCACCGAGGAGCAGTTTATGCCGATACAGAGCGCTGATGGTGAGCGCCACTAGCGCCACCACCGGCAGATAGAGGAACCAGAGCAGCGAGGCGGCACCAAAGTGCAGCAGGAACTGGAGCCGGCCCGGGTCCGGGTCGCGCTGGCTGGCCACAGTGTCTCGTAGCTCCCAGAGGAACCAGCACATGATGAGCAGCCGCAGAGAGAGCGCCAGCCAGCCCGGCCACGTCTGGTACTCGTCAATGTCGTATATGACGTCCACCTCCGTCTGAGAATGGGGAGGAGTGAGCTCAGTGAATCATGGTCAGTGTGTGCCGATAAAGAAAAAAACGGCAGGTTAAATAGAAACAGACCGCATGGTAAACGGAAAATAGCGCAACACAGCCCCGTTATAGGTACAATACAAACTACAAACACTGTCTTGTCTCCCTCATAACCAATAGGAGCGGATACTGGCTACGCACAGACCAAGGGAGAGGCAAGTTCCGACGTTCTCCCGACCCAATGAAGTAAAGTCTGACCGCTCCCACACCCAGCCCCCGTTCACGAGCTTCAGAATTCCTTTACCGTGACGTCATCACGGCGCATGAATTTTCCTTCACCCATAGAAATGCATGCAAAGCATGGTGTGTTTCAGGCGGGCTAAGGAGAAATCTAAGGCCTACATGTGTTCAAAAGACGTACCACTAAGCCAATGGATTCGTCTCATTACGATAAATGGGGTTGAAATCGAAAAAATCGGCCTATATTTGACTAAAATGGGCCTATCAAATGGTCCTTGCAACTCATAATGAAGGATTTCCTCTGCGTTAAAAAAATTGTTTCTTGAGATTTTTATCAGCTACAGGGGAAATCCTTCATAATTGCTACCAGATTACTACCATATTCCCTCGCATTTCTGTTGCGCATGCGTATTTACAAATTGCAACCGAGCTCCGCCGTGGGGTAAGGTGGGCAGGGGTTTTCGCACTACGGCTGCGGTTGAACTACCGTCTGTGGTAGAAACTTCAGGATGATGGCGCGTTTCATACGAAATCTGGCGCAATGTTTATTTGCTTCTGAACTTGTATTGTTATTGCTGTGAACTCTTGAAGTGGGGGTGTTTCAATTACAGTTTGTGGATTATTTGGGTTTCTTGATATAAAAATCGAATAATATTATGAAACATTGTGTGGAAACTGCAAATACTGATATAATCAATTGCTTAGTTTGGGAATTGATACACATTTTGTAGAGGTTTGTCTGGCAAATCGTGTAACAAACTTCAAGCCTATCATGATCTGAAGCTGTTGTAACAAATCAAAATTGCTTTGATGTTCCATAGTACCTTGTTGGAAAGACTGGAGCATGGTTCAAGATGATGTGTAAAAATTCAAGATTTGTGCAAAAGCTTACGACTGAAGAGTGAAAACAGTTCTATATGATGGCTCAATCAAATGTGGAAATGGACGACAAAAGTAGAGTTTCAACATTCGAGCATGTGAGAATAACTTCAGAACTTCATAGTTCTTGTAGCATTGCATTCTTCTTTTGTACAGTTCTAGGTTTTGCTAGGGTATTTCAATTTCAATGTGTCAGTTGAGATATATGTGGATTTCGGACAAAATTTAGAATCATTGCATGGTAGATATGTACTTGTTCAGTAAAAAGGTATGTGATGAATGCGACGATAAAGTTTTTTTTATGATTAAATATATGTTCATTGTTGTACCTACAAAAATGCAAGCTTACTAGCACCTAGTTATTGAATCAAATCGAAAGTATTTGCTATTAATGTAAATATGTACCTGCAAAGTATGTCAATAAATTTGTGTGATGTTGACCAGAGAGCTGTATCATCTGGGCATTTATGTTGCTTCTTACATTTGGTGTTAAGCATAGTAATTATGGATGAACTTTGTGCCAATATCTTCAATTCACAGTGTATGTAGCATGTCTACAGCCCTCACTGATCCTGCTATAGCTATAGGCATTTGACTCCAGCAAGACCAAGGGCATGAACTTCACAGTTGCGCAACCCTTTTCTTGTACCACCAGTCACTTTTTTTCCTTAAGGTGCACATGGCAGTGTACACAATAATGCACAGAGGGCCTACACAAAAACAGCATGATTAGTGTGCACTATGATGCACAGCATTGTACCCTGATCATTTGAATATTCTGGTCACTCAAGTCAGGAGACCATTTTTGAATGTCACATTTATTATACATCACTTGTCAAACAAGAGCATGATGACACACATTTTGACAAGCAATCATGGTAATATTCCAATCAATTGGACACCTCCCTAGGCATCATTTTCCAGGAAGGTACTTCTGCAGGTGTTGTGGTAGGTTAGGTTGAATTGGGTTAAGTTAGGTGAAGTAAGGCGGTTAGGATCAGGTCAGACTGTAAGACCTGGTCAGGTTGATTTTAATCTTTCATTCTAATTTGACATAGATACCTATTACCTATGTTTTTGCTCCAGACTGTACTTCATTAGGTAATGAGTTCATTTTGTTTTGTTTTTTATCTGTCTTGTTTTGTGTTTTTGTCCCTTATGTTTTGCCCCATAGGCAAGGGTGGAGCTTTTCCAGGGAAGGTGGTGCTGGTTGGGCAAAAAGCTGTCAAACCTGCAATGCTCGGTTGTTAAGTTAGATTATGTGCAACACTGAATCAATTCTTTTAATTACAGAACTAATATTTTGAATTACACAGACATTTCAAAGCTCCTCAATGCGAACAACATAGTGGTTTGCTAAGCAACGAAGTTCTACAAATAAGCAAAAGTTGGAGGGGCAGAACGCTATTTTTTCTCTGACAGCTTCGTAACTTGTTACGAAGGCACTAAAACTACTTCAGTACAGGGTGTAACGAAATTATCCGGACATCTATTTTTTGCCATATCTGTTTGCACAGTTTCCTCATACTTTCTGATGTTAGAAGTGGGAATATTGGATGAATACGTGCCTCTGCTATCGGTTTTCAACTCAGCAGTGACCTGACCTTGTCATGTGACTGTTGCTCTGAGTAGGAGTCGATTCACAGACGGGTTCACATGGTAGTTGTCGTCCAAGGCAGTTGCGAGAAAGGGATACAATCTCTCCTTTCGTGGTAAAATTGCATGGCGGCATCCACGGCGTCATGAGCCAGAAGCTGGTCTGCCAGCAGCTAGACATCAGCAGCAGCCAATTGCACATCTGCCTGAGGTGTAATAAGCTGGGACTTCGGTGGCAGACTCAGCCCGGTCGCGACCACAAAAGCCGCCCTTTGTCAAGTGGTGAGGAGAGTTGTCAGGATAGCGGCAAGGAAACGGCACCAATCAATCTGCAAATTGACTCGAATTCTTACCAAGTCAGATAATAAGAGATCCCATATCATGGTTTACCGCTACCCGCCCTTTAACTTGGTTCTAGTGCCCTTCAAACTGAAAAAGACAACGAAACTGACGGGAAAACAACCAGTTCACATCCTTTCGCCTCACGCCGGATCGCGTCCACTGGATGAAGAATGATAAGGGTGAGGTGGTCTGGTTGGATGGGTAGCCGTTCGAGCTGTTTTATCCTTTGAACCGTCAAATCGGCCATGTATGGGCGGCCAGCCGCTCGAACTTGCTGGCCTTCACCGCCGTCAAACATCCGGACAATATCCAGAACTGGAGCATGTTCAGTTGCCTAGCGATCCTCCAATAGGACATAGTGTCACATAATACCACCATCAACGTCAAGTATTACCCCGGAGAAACATACTGGCTAATGAATAGTCGGAGGCGCTCAACCAGACGGTATAGGAGGGCTCGGTTTCTGAACGCGCACTGATGCCTGATTCAAGCCACGCTATCTTCATGCGGGGCGGCGCGCTACTTAAAAGTCCCTAAAAGAACGGGAAGTGATGCCGATAGAACCTTCAATCATTCTGGGCTAACGCTTATGACTTGGAAAAAGTCGCGATCCCAATTCAATTGAAAACCTGTGGGCTCTTGTTCAGCAGGTGACTGAAGAGACGCCCGCCACAAGCACCGCCCAACCGCAGGCACAGGTTTAGACGGCGTTGGTCCGCGTCAAAGCCAGTTTGCTGGAGAATCCATTGGCTGAAATGCTCCAAAACATTCGCCACTGTGTTTTTATGAAAGGTGGCTACATGCTCAGTCAAAATAAAAAGTACCAGAATGTGTTGCTTTTTAATAACAGCGGGAAGAAAGATGTCCGGATAATTTCGTTACACCCCTGTAATGTTCAAATGGTTGCTAAATTCGAAATCAGCTAAACAAAAACTAGCCTAGAAACATGTTAAACTCGAAAAAGTGAACCGGGGTCATCAAAGGTCATTGAGCTGACCTGACTTTCATGTGACACCCACCCTAATGCATGGGACGAGCATCATATCACATGTTTCAACGCTTGAAACCACTTAAAGACTGCAAACGCGCGGCTAATGCGAGCAGACATATCGCCGAATCGCGATTCGGGCCAAACATGGTCTCGAGAAATAGGTCACAGGTCAAAGGTCATTTGGGTCAGGGTCATGAAATTTTCAGGGTAGGAGTAAAATTGATAAAATCGGGGGTATTGAAAGTTTCGTCGCGATCGGACGGTTTTTACGCGAGTTACTCACGAAAAACCGATGGGGTCCGCTCAACGCCTCCCCCTATACGGGCGAGGGAAAAGCGCAACCAAAAAGGCAAAAATACGCACATGCGATAACCTATACTGCGAAAAAAGGTGCATCATTTTTTAACGTCGCCGACAAATTGTAATTACCCCAAGCTCAGGCAGCTGTATGGTAGAAAATGCCCCAACTGAAATACACTACGGCGCAAATAAAATACCCTACGGCGGAGCTCGGTTGCAATTTGTAAATACGCGTTGCGCATTGCCTCACAAATCAGAGTTTGGTGAAGTTTATATTAAAGGGACCCTCCCACCTTCAAAAAAGTTAATGAATTGGCATGAAAGTGATGTCGCTCGGTTCAGAAAGAGCAAAAACGAATATCTACCAAATTTCATCGAAAAATATTCACCGGTTTTCAAGATATTAGACTTTTACTTTTGTTTACTTTTTGGGATTCCCGCTGTTCCTAGCGACTTTATTTGAAAGTGCGGCATTTGTTGCGCGCAAAGCAGCGTATACCACCACGTGCTACAAAACGTTTTAGTCAAACATTTAACGGACGTTCGAAAGCTTGATGACGTCATCAGATTCCCGTAATGGTTAAGAGATAGGGACCACGCTGGTCCCACCCTGCAAGTAAAGGGAAGAAATTTCTTGAACACCATAAAGCTGCGGGGGTTGCGACCAGGATAAATGGTGGTTTCTGAGCCTGGCCGCAAACTTGGCTATCTCAACTCAAAACTAATGTTAAGGTGGGAGGGTCCCTTTAATTTAATTGTCATATTTCGACTGATTTTGGCGATTTTCAATTATTTCAACGCAGCATGGATCAGATAGCTCTCATAGTTTGCTGAAGAATGTGGCTTTTGCTTGGTTATTTTTAAGTTATCTGTGATTTGGTGCGCCGTGATCGTAGCAATATACAAATTACCTATATCAACTTTAAAAATTGAATCAACTTTTGAAGTGAAGTTCACATGAAAAATCAGAAGTTCAAGCATAATAATTGTTGAAACATAATGATGCAACATGTGTCTGGACCTTATATTTCAATTAAAAACTGAAAATGGAAAACAGAAGATGGATCTGCGGAGTTACTGAGATCACAAGGTGCTCTTGATTGTTGGTAATTGAAGATGTTGAGAGAACTTGTGAATCTGCATACCAGTCCTGACTTGCTTGATTGTTTAAAACTATTTTAATTCTCATAATTGTGTAATGTGTAGTGACTGTGCACACTGCGCAGCACATGTGCGCAGAAATGTGCAGGTGGCTGGTAGGTGGGTTAAACTTCGGAGATGCGAATTTGGATGTCAGTTATAAAATTAATGGTTATGCCTTGTAGAGTAAGCTCTGCTGTTTTTTTGTAATTGTCTTTTTTATAATTGTAACCTACAATGCTGTTAGTTTCATTTTTATTTGAATGCTCGACCAGAATTTGCACTTGTTCATGCATGAATGGCAAAGTTTGGGGTGTTTATTCAACCCTGACTGCTCAAGTTTTTCAAAGGCACATGACACAGCACGGCTAGATCAGCTGGTACCTACCTGTTGACTATTTTTGTTTTTGGTGGTGATGTGTTTGCTGTTTGTCTTTTGCAAGGTGGTCAATGAAATAAAATAATGCATTATTTTGGAATGTTTCCTTGACAAGCCAGGAGCCGGATTGATGTGTGCTGTTGAATGAGATTGTTCAAAAGCATTATCTGATGTTTTTCAATGTGCATAAGCCATAACATCCCTTTCATACGCTGAAGTTTTAATAGCTTCTCAGTCTCTGTCATTTTCCTGAAATATTGGTGTACAACAGTAGATAAGAGATATCAGTACCTTCTCAGAGGTACCTGCCTTCTGCTGGATGAATATTTAATTGGTTGGACGAAATGGACAGGTAGCCTTATGATAATGTAATGTGAAATCTTATTTCTATAAAACTTTGAAAATGAAGTTCTTATTATTCATATGTGCATACATTTTTGATGACTAAGAAAGTTTTCCACAAGAGTAGAGAAAATGTGGGAAAGTCTATCAAATAACACATTCTGAAGGCTCAATGCTGACAGAGTGCTGCCTCAAAGAATAACTGACTTGCTGGGTTACGAATATTTCTTTATTTTAATTTTCAAATGCAATGTACAATACATTGCAGTGAAATAACAAAATAGTGCAGTAAAATAGTATTGGCGACGATCAAACAACACGTGCGCCATTGATGTCTGCAAAAATTGCTACCAGATTGCTACCAAATCCGTGACGTCACCACGGCGCCTTTATTTCCCTAGTGAACCAACCTGAGTAGTAAAGTAATCTTGCCCACACCCAAATAAACGATAAACTCCGGGAGGCAGGGTCCCCCAGATCTAGTTGGACAGGTACTGACCAGGTTCCAGACGTACAGCACCACGCTGATGACGCCGTACACGCCCCAGATGGCCAGCATTCGCCGGTTCCCGGAGATCAGCGGATCACGCACCGTCCACCCCTGAGCCAGCAACATCAGTACCAGCATCAGCAGCAGCTGCAACGGAGAGGGAACAGCATCAGTAGCAGGGACCAATCAGCAACAGCATCAACAACCAGCATCAGCAGCAGCTGCAACGGAGAGGGAACAACGTCAGCAACAGGGAACAATCAGCAGCAGCACAGCAGCAGCTGCAGCCTGCAAAACACCCGAAACAGCATCAATAGCAGGGAACAATCAGCAACAGCATCAACAGGAGATGCAAAGGACCGGGGACGACATCAGCAACAGGGAACAGTCAGCAACAGCAGCAGTACCAGCATCAGCAGCAGCTGCAAAGGGGAGGGAACAACGTCAGCAACAAGGAACAGTCAGCAACAGCAGCAGCAGGAGCTGCGAAAGACCGGTGACAGCATGTCAATGCTATGAGCACCTCAGGTCGGTTGCAAGTTGAAGAGTAGAAAAAGATCCCGAACCCGTAAACACTCAACTTGTATTGTTAGAATAATTTCAAGCCACGAGTACAGGCACAAGTGCAGCCTTTTGTACATACTTGGGTACACACCTGAGCGGCCATGTTGAGACAGTCGCCGATGATGCTGACTGGCCGCCAGCCGACGCCGTCGAGCGCCATTTTGACGCTGTGCGCGGCGCGGAGCATCCACCCGGCCAGGCCGGTCACCAGGGCGCCCGTGAACAGCCGAGTGAGGCTGTGACGCTGGCGCAGCGAGGCATACAGCTGGAAGGGCGCCAGCAGCGTGTACAGGCCGAGGAAGGCCAGGTGCACCTCTACGGTGTCCTGTAGAGGGGAGAAGGGGTTAGGTGTGACGTGTACAGGCCCAGGAAGGCCAGGTGGACCTCCACCGTGTCCTGGAGAGGAGACAAGTTGTGACGTGTACACTGTACAGGCCCAGGGAAACCAGGCGTACCTCCACAGTGTTCTGAGGAGGGGTCACCTACAGGGTGTCCCATAAGTTCCTTCTCACCTATTTTTTTTTTTAAGAGGCTCTCTTATTTAAAGCCACGCTTAATTTATTTTGAAACTGAACTTTTGGGGTTGCCATGGCAACTGTGAATGTGCTCCACGGTAACTAATTCGTCTAGACAAAATATTTTTTGCCAGAGAGTTCACTTCCTTTGGAGACGGCTTACGCCACAACATAGAGGTCTCTGATACGGGAACGTCTCGGTATTTAGACCGCACTGGGCCATTCACGACGGTTGAGGGTGATTGAGGCCATCCAGTATGTAGCCAATGTCTGTCGCTAACTGGACGCACAGTCAACAAGTGACGCCGATGATTTGTCGGGAGTCAATCGCTGCAAGTTTATGCTCTTTTTTTGTCAGCTTTCACGAGTGAGCCATGTGGCCAAAACTGTGTGGCGCCAAAATGGCCGTAAAAAGGTCTTAGCGTTAGAAAGTTGGTAAACAGGCTTTCCAGGATGTATAACCAGCTGTCTAAGAGTATCATTTCGGGGTACCTAACTCAAGGTGACTTAAGCTCTACTTACCGGAGGGCTCAAAACAGTCAAAAACGTCTTAAAATGGCCAAACAAGTGTTTCGTTATGCCTGAGGCTAAAAAAAACTGGAGGGTCGATGACATCAATGTGGTCATCTGGACTACCTAGTCCGTGCTCGAGATAAAACACCCGTCCTAACCCCAAAACGGTCCCATATGGGCGACGGAAAAGGCCTTTGTATCATCCAGCTTTATTCCTATGCAAAAGGCCAGGGTCACGGTAATGTGGGGTAATATGCGTCCAGACACTGATCACGTTGCGAATGATGCTCCAGGAACAGTCTTGGGACGCAGAACGCTTCTCCAAGAAGATCTAGGAGGAGTTTCAGCTTTCTAGCTTAACTTGAACCGCAAGTATGACCACATTTTTTTAGTAGAAAATGGCATCCGGGAGGTCGTAGGCCCATCTTCAAGCAAGACAGTGCATCAATGCAGAGGTCAAGCAAAGCATAAAAGCAGTGCCAGGAGACTGTGATAGGCGTGTGTGGCAAGATCACATCCCAGGCAACTCATCGGATCCAAATTTCATAAAAATGTGTTGGGAATATTGAAATCGAGGCTCGTCGAAGAGAAGCGGTGTTCCAGCATTGAGGAGCTCACGGCGCATGCCAAGTCCGTCTGGGCTAACTTCAAGCCTGCTATGCTGCCAAACATGCCGGTTGGCATGTCGCAGCATGTATTCATGTGTTTGCCTATGAAATGGGGAGCACATTGAGGGGTTATAAACATATCAAAACGCAATGTACTATGTTTTACATGCAAATAAAAGGTGAGAACGAACTTATGGGACACCCTGTACAGTGTGCATAGGCCCATGAGTCTCCAGAGAGTCCTGGGAGAGGGGCAGAAGGGGGTGGTAACTGCTGAGGTGAACACAGAGCCGAAACCCTTTCATCAAATCGACTGTGGAAAGCCCGGATTATTGAAGATCTCCAGCATTGAAATGAATCATCACATATTCATTCGTTCATTGGGGTTTACGGGCGCGTCGACTGCGGTGGTCATTTTGCGCATCGAAGATGCTACGGGCATTACTAGTCAGGAAAATTAACAATTACTGGATGCCACATTAGCAAAAGAATAGAGTAACCGGCATGAGCACTAAAGTCGTTCATAGGAAAGTGAGTGGCTGCGTGTGCTGCATGATACCATCGCGGTAGGTTCCGGCTCATCAACTGGATCATAAGTGCGGCCTATATTCCATTCAGCGTTTTCCAACAAATTAACCAAATTAAAATGTTCAAGGTCGGCATGGGCTATCATCGGTGCCATCAGCTAAATCCACTCTTAGAGCAAGTGCTAGTTAATAACCTCTGAAACACGATACCTACACCTTCGTCAACCTTAACACCGACAATAAGACGTGGAGTGAAACAAACTACATCCTTCCAATACAGCTACGTAACATTCTTCATTCTTGATTGATGAGCACACATAACACCATGGACCATAAGCCTCGCCTTGATCCTGCACCTTACACCCCACGTACAGCTCACGATGCTATCAGCTCCAGTGCGCCTGAAACAAACTACAACCGACAATTCCGACCCGGCTAATTGCGACGTCGTCTAAGTCTCGCGTGGCGTACTAAGCCAGGTCGCCTCGGGACCGGTAATGGATGAGAATGCGACGGGGCGCCCCAGACGGGGTCAGTGTGTGCCGGGCTCGCCGCGCGCGGTGACTGTGCGGGCGCCGTCACAGGCGCCGCGCGACCTCCAGGAGTTAGTACTGGCGGGGAAGCGATCGCTCACCGTTTGTGAATTGTTGGGTCACCGTTGGATCAGCTGTGACAGCGAGCCGTCTCTGTTGAAGATTGGTCTGTTGCTGACAGCTCAGACGTCCCCGGTGCGACCGCCCGGCGCCCCGCTGTGTGCTGGCGCGCGATGCGGTGCCGGCTGGCGCGGCTGCCGCTGCACGCCGCCCGGCTGCTGCTGCTCACCTGCTGGACGGCGCTCACCGGCCGCCAGCTGAGCCACTATCTCTCGGAGCCCACCGCGCTGCGGCCCCGCATCGACTGGGACTTCGCGCCGCCCTACCTGACGGTGGTGCCGGCGGCGCCGCTGCCGCGCGCTGTCGCCAGGGTGGTGCGGAACGGAACGGCGGACGAGCGGCGCGCCCTGTACGGCAACCGCACGCTGCTGCAGTTCCTCACCGAGAACAGTCTGACGCTGTCACAGCTGACCGGAGAGATAGAGATCTCGGAGCCCGAGAACGGCAGCGTCCGGCAGACGGAGGCGGCCGGCCAGTTCGGCCGGTGGCGGCTCATCAGGACCGGCACCGGCGTCACCGGAGCCACGCTCGAACCCAACACGACCAAACTGTTCCTCAGTCTGCCGCGCGACACTGAGTTTGAGGTGGACCTCGGCGGGGGCCCGGCCGGCCAGTACTGCTGCTGGGTGATCGTGCACAGCACACCGCTGTTCTTCAAGCTCGACGTGGACATGCACGCGTTCTTCCCGATCCGTAACGTGCTGGACAACCCGGACATTCAGCTGACAGTGAGCCGGGACGAGCGGCTCAGCCTGCGCCGACTGCCCTGCGAGGGTGACCCGGAGTACAGCGAGCCAGACTGCGAGCGGCGCTGCTTCCTACGCTCGCTCAACTGCAGTCTGGAGCCGAGCGCCGGCCGGCCGGACCGGCGACCCGTCTGCATGGCCTCCGACTACCAGCGGTACTCAGTCGCCTACCGGCGCTTCGTGCAGCCGACAGCCGGCCGGGACAAGAGCAGCGCGCCGATAGCCGGCTGCGGCTGTCCGCGGCCGTGCGCGCAGGACCGCTACAGCTACAGCCCTCTGGCCGACGTCACCGTCATCACCAACGACACCTTCCGCATGGCCATCACGGTGCGGCGCGTGCGGCGCACCATGGTCACCGTGCTCACCTACCAGGTGGAGGACCTGCTGGCAGACACGGGCGGCTACCTGGGCCTCCTGCTTGGCTTCTCGGTGCTCTCGCTGTTCGGCACGGCCGACCGGCTCACCCGGCGGCTGGTGCGGAGCGCGCGGCGAGGCGCCGCCGCCCGCCGCGCCGCCCGGATCCCGCTGGTCAGAGCGCTGTCCAGAGCGACGGGAGCCGAGGAGCACGACGCACCGACGATGACGGATGACGGGCTGAGCAGCGGACAGTTCCCCGCGGTCGACCATGGGCGGCAACGACTGTCAGTGACCGAGTGGTAGCGCCGCCTGTGCGCCCGCGCCGCCGGCACGGTCACAGTGGTCCTCCGCCATTGTCCTTTCCTTGAGCTGATGTGCTCCTCATCGATGATGAGGGAAATCATCGATCAATGATCAGTTATGTGATATTTATCCTTGAGTTAATCACCATAATCTTGATTTGATATGTTCACTTCCAATTCCGCGGAAAAAGAAACACCAGCAACAACAGATTTTTTTCAATCGCGGTAGCTAATCGGGAGCGAAATGACCAGAGATGTTATCGCACCAAAAACCTGAGTAAAACCCATTATGAATGTCATATCCTGCCTAGTTTCAGTGCCCACCCCTAGATGAGATACTTGCTTCTTGGCGAATGTATTGTTTGGCACAGGGCAGCGGCTACGATGTCTGGCATACGGCTTCTTGCCGACCAAGCGCATGCTCCTTTAAAATACCGTTCGTTTCACGCAAAAAAAAAAAATAGCCGGAGCACCACTGAGAACGGTATGTCTGCTTCACCGCTAGAATAAAAAATGTGAGCCTACACAACTTATCAAACACATCCCCGTTGTAGACACATCGAGCCGTCAGTCGACCCACTTACTCTCATGTTAAGGAAAACAAATGTCATTAATTGCGGATTTTAGCCGTTGTAGCGGACACTTGACACAACATTGTGTCCGTTTTTGCTTGTAACTCATACCTGAACACAGATGTAGGCATCACAGGATGATGCGTTTTCCTCCTTAACCGACAGCCAACTATTTCGGTAATATACTTTAGCTCTACCAACTGTGTGATTCTGCGTTCTATTTACGGGAAAAAGTGCACGCCTACGAGACTTGGACTCGGTCCGACGCCTTCAGCATTGAGCGAGTCGCCAAACGTATAACGTCTAGGGCAGTAGCAATTGTGCAGTAGCAGTAAGTAGCACACTCTATCCCGGAATTCGCGGAGTTAGTCAGACGGGATGGGATGTGGTTGATGGGCGGTGGCTTTCAGCTGAAATCCGAGTCTCGTATTTGGAACTGATGAGTGATGGGTCACAGCGCCAGGGCTGATCCAGTTTACAACTGCGGCCTATTTTTAGGTGGCCAGCGCAGTTGGTTATGAACATTGCACAAGCAAACAGTTGAAATGAAGTTCACCAAACCTGCCTGCATTGATTCTGCAGGAAAAAAGAAGAAATAGAAGCCATACGACATTTCCCACTACTACAACGACTGAGACTCGAAGTACGAGCTATATCGGCAGAACCTCAAATCCTGAGACATTCAAATCCTTACACAACATACGACAGACAGCCGCTAAGAGCTACCGCCTCTGATAGCCGTATCTTGCTGTCAGTCGCTGCATTGCGAATACAGAAACCATGCCAAGTCAAGAGAGCTTAACCATTTCCGTCGTTTTAATTTTGTCTTGAAATGCGCTCAATGACACAAAACATATTCAAGAAAACTCGAAATGACAAATAAGTATCAGCCGGATGACAATAATTCAACATGCGTTGCAAACAGTTGAAGGACTGAGACTCGACAGACGCACTTCTTGTGCGTCTGGACCTGGGGATGACAATTTGCATTAACGGTAGCGTGACGTTGTCGACTGAGCGTTTATAATCCGTAATGTTCGGATCAGCTGATTTCCATTACGATATGAAACACAAGCAGCTTGAACTATTTGTTAACTGGTCAAAAACAAGAGCAAATTCGTTCTTTGTAAATTACGAGTTAAGTCATGTCCTACGATGGATAATTACATGTCAACTGAACATAGCATTGCAGCACGGTGCTGACAAGGACAAACAACGACAAATTTCAATCACCTTGCGAAAGACTATTGTAAGCTAAAGCAGCTTGAAATGACAATAGATCGTCCTGTTGTCATATCACCTCAGTATTTTCCGATCATTCCCTCCATTCCTCGGGACGACAAAAAGGCCGCATCCCCGTCCACTGACCTGCTCATCAAACGAGAACTGGTACTCGAGCGGGTTCTGGGCGCGTTTCCTCGGGTCTCCGTTCACCAACCAGATGTCGTACTGGACGCTGATTGGCTGACGGGTATGACGCCACTCACACGTCACCGGGTCGCGGTGACACGCCACCAGACTGATGTACCAGAACCTGCGGTAGGGGGAAGCTGGTGAGGGCTAAACCCGAGTGACAGGGGGAGGGGGGTGAGTGATTACCGAGCGACAGCCGGAGCCGACGGTGGGAATAGGTAGGGAAAACATTCGGTATATGTTAGGGTGTGTAAAAAAAAAAAACTAGGAAAATAACCGCTGCAAGCCAACAACACACATCTCATTTTGACACTCTCAGTACCTAACACGACAGCTGACAGATTAGCTCAAAATGAGAAAGGGCGAAATTCAAGGGAAAAGAAAGCTGCCCAACTCACCAGCAATCCAAAATATCCAGGGATACAGCACGTAATTAACGCATGCATACACTAAGCCACTCACAACACGAGTCCGACTCTAGCCTCGACTGCTGCCCACAATCACACGCCAACTCAATAGGTATCTCCAGTTACCTCCGCTTACCTCGGCTGGTGGACGTCCTGAATCGAGTAGGTGAACTGGTGACCGGTCACCACATTCTCCGGCGCGTCCTCGTCAGGACAGAGCGCCCCGCGCGGACACGGCACGCGGCGCAGAAAGTCCTCCTCGCCATCATCGAAGCAGCGCGCGTCGTAGGCCACGCGCGACAGTCCGGCGAACATGCGGCGGCAGGCGGCGTCTCGCGCTGGCCAGCTCCTGTTGGTGTAGAAGTCGAGGAAGAAGGTGCGGTCGAGTACGGCGAGCAGCGCGCCCGGCTCGCCAGACTCCGAGCCGGACACGGTGGTGACGTTGCCGAATATGTGCCCCTCCGAGTCGCGCCGGTTTGGACTGCTGGTGCGCTGGAAGCCGAACTTTGAGAGGAAGAGGAAGAAGGAGTCTGAATGCCAGGTGCCTGTGAGGCGGAGAGGGGAAACAAAAGGTGCCAGAACTACCAGCAGCAGTGATAATGATAACAGATTCTGCATCATGGATGAGGTGGCCTCCTTGGCTTCAGGAGTTCAGCTGGTAGTGAGATCGGTTTAGAAATGGTCTTCAAATCATGTGATCCCTATGAATGGGAAGACATTTCAAAGATGAAGCAGCAAGGTGTCTATGCTGCTGACTTGTGGACTTGCTGCTGCTAAATATAATGAACACCTGCAGATGCTAAGGAGTCAGGATCATGTAGGATGGGCTGCAAAGTCAGTCTGTTGAAACTTCAGAGTTCAGTTTCTTTATAGAGATCCAAGGCTTGACACTTGACAGCAATATCTGAAAAGAGAAAGATAAGGTAAAATAGATCACCATTGTCAGACTAGTTCTTTGATAACAAGACACATCATTGTTTATTGTTAAGATATATGATTTGACCTAAATAATAGGTATCATCATAATAATCTACTTTGAGATTACAGCAACTCTAGCAAGTTCATGTCAGTGTCTGTGTCAGTTAATCAATATTGGCTAGGCTAAGTTATGTGTTGTACATGAAATGGATGGAGTATAAGCAGATTATCTAAATTGAGTAAGACAGAATTCATATTCTTGTTAATGCCCAGTAGGCACCTAAGTGTGATGATGATGATGGTTTCCATGTTATTTGGGATGAAGAAGTAGATTCTGACCATTGAAAATGTGTGATTTGATAGACAAAGGTCTTAAAAAATCACTGGGCACTGATGTAGGCAAGCTACCATACCATTGTCTACAGTTTGCAGTTTGCACCATTCTGTGATATAAAGAGCTCACTGCTGAGTGCTGACTGCCTCACTTCAAAATGTCTCAATTCAGCATAAAATGTTAAGAAACACATCCATGTGGCTGGTGCTAAATGCTTATCATGATGGTCTTCCAAACTACATGAAAAGGCTTATCAGGTTCATTTTAACTTGTACCTACCTACTCCACTGTATGAGACACACAATTGCAATCTTAGGTCTTTGTCAATATCTTAATACATTAAGACAATTATGTCAAACTTTCAATAACCTATCATACATCAATTTGACATATTCTCTGAAGATCTATACATAATTTTAGAGCATGGCAGTGTTAGTGCTAGCATGATGTGACATGTCCGACATGCCACATCACACCACCTTTGCTTCAACTTTCAAGAGCTACAAAACTTACAAAATAATATGCTACAAAATGCATATAATTGACTCAGTTTATATTGTTAACAATGTTGATATAGCTAGGAAAAATCAACATTGATTCAAAAACAAGAGATATTCTGGATTCAGCTGTCAGCATGATGTGCGGATCATCAACATGGCACTACCATACACGATTTCTGATTCATGCCATGGGTGCTTTTATTTTCGCCACCATAACTGAAAGGCAAAGTGCCATCCGAACTTATCACGAAAAAATACTTCAACTCGTAGGTTGTAGCACTCAAGGTTCGACTGGTTCGTTACATTCCACCGCCAAAGCCATTGTTTTTAGCAAACCGTTTTTAGTCTGAATTATCATCTCATTTTCTCCTTAGAGTACACTCACCACAAGTTGGTAAGAAGAGGATTTTGACAATTTTAACCAGCGCAATCACTCTAGGATGATAAGACAGCAACAAAAGTAAATAATTTTAGTTCATCCCCGTCGGCCATCAACACATTGACATCAACATCATGCGCAGAAAGACGAATGTAGCAGCTGCGCCAAAAATGGAAGCACATATGTAGAGGTGGGAGTTCGGCGATTCAAGTACTAAGTACTTCTCCAGTATCGCATGTCTCGTTTTTCCCAAGGCCCTAAAGTTTTTCCCTTGGATTTCCCCAGTTTTTCCCCAAGACAAGATTCCTGTTTTTCCAACGAAGGAGAGGCGCAGCCTGACCGGAGATGTTTCTTTCTAACCAAACCAAAACAAACCTACCTGACCTAACCTTACCTAAAAAGTACAGCCTACAAACCTATAACCCTTTGAAATTTGAATCACGAGCGAGCGGGCACCCTTACACCACTCAGCCATCAAGAAGGCAGAAGCCATCTGGCTGAAATGAGGTGTAAGGTAGCAAAGTACCTAATCTTGGGTGTAAGACCCACTCATGTCTCATGGAGTGACCCTTTCACTTTGACTGCCACAATTGGGTATGGGTAGTGCGGCCAAGGGCCCAAGTATCTTCTCGCTGCGCTGAATGTTTGTCTTTATGGCTATTCTCCGGGTAGCGCCTCCAGTGCTGCGTGCACCGAAATAGCTCAGGCTGGCAGCGCGCATTGCACTGTACAATAATGCCACAGAACAGCGTATAACAATCTTAACCCATTTACGCCCTTCGTTGCGTTTTCGCAACGCAAGCAAGCGTCGACGTGATCGAAGCTTGAGAAGTGTGTAAAAGAGACTAACCGATGAGACAAGTTTCAGCGTGTGTAGCATGGTTGTGCGCATGATACTACGCAGTTACAAGTCTGTGCGGCCGGTAAGTTACTGCCTAGTAGAGCTCCCAGAGGGAAGTCGAAGGTTTTGTGAGTGATGACGTCACGAAAACCAAGATAAGTAGGCTAAGTGCTTAATAATATCGTAATGAAAATTGTGTAAACATATTCTGCAGAGTCCCTACAATAGCGTAGATATGCATTTTGTTAAGAAATAATGCTACAAAAAGGGTTTGTGACTATTTTCAAATATGACTACGGTCGCGTTGCGGGAACGCAACGAAGGGCACATCGGAAAGACAGCGGTGTTGCGAAAACGCAACGATGGGCACATTGGCAGGGTAGCGGAAGTATGAATATCAACAGTAGACTTCACTCGTGATACGCTGTGGGTTCTCTCTTTCTCTCCCCCATCTTCCTCCCTCTCCTCCTCGTTCCCCAACTCTCTCCCCCCTCTCTCTCTCTCTCTCTCTCTTTCTCTCTCTCTTTCTTTCTCTCTCTCATTTTGTAGCCATGAGGCTGTAGCGGCGGAACATCTTCAATTAAGGGGGGAGCACTGCTGACTTTTGGTCTCATTCTTTCCATTTCCATTTCCATGCAACGCCTATCAGGATAATGTTAAAATGACAAAATCAAGGGGGGCACGGTGCCCCGGTGCCCCCTCCCCCCGCTCCGCCGCCTATGCCATGAGGGACGTATATAGGTATGTTTAGTGCAAGGTGCGTTCGCACGTAAAATGTTGCGACACATTTCATATTTGCTGGCTCAAACAGCCACAAACACTCCTTTCTTTTTCTCTCGCAGATTTTCGGCCTCGGGCTGTTCGTTCACTAAGCAATGTGTTCCCATGCATCTGAAAATCGCATGGTAGGAAAAGGACCCATGCATCAAACGGTCGGCGATGCTAACGGAGCTGAGAGATAATTAGGTCCTTTGGAAATTGGATCTACTATGTACATTGTACATTGTGCATAAATAATGAATAACGGGGATGTATTCTGGTATCAGGCGACAGATAGGCATCGCCATTCTCTGGATAGAATCTGCTGACTACCAGCATTTACGTTAGAAAAGATAACTGAGGGTCGGCAAATAGTGGGATAGGCCCCCTCTGAGGGTAGCTGAGCCCTTCGGCAGGGGTAATGAAGGCGGACCCATGGGAAAATAATAATTTTTAGGATTCATAACTCGCATAGATTCATAAGCTACTTGATGTGGAGTATACGCCTGTTTTCTTACTTTGATAGGCTTTTTATCTATTCAGACCATTTTTAGAGCTAGCAGGATTATTGGAATTAGGGGAGACATTTGTCTGACCGGACACGGTCAATCGTAGACTGGAGACTGAGCCCACCCAGTGGGCAGCCGCCACCCATGACCCACCCCCTTCCCCCTCCCAAGCACTCACTGCACCCGGCTACAGGCGCGCTCCTATGTGAGCTGCCCGATTGCGATACACGTTGCCGGTCCAGCCCGGAACAGGGGGATGAGGCGTGGAGGAGGATTCAACTATCCTGAAGATGGAAAGGACGGATTGACGTCGAATCACCATTCTGTCCTGGCATTGTCTCGAGAAAGAGGTTACACGTGAAGGTCGCTGAGAGTGGGGCCATGAAAATTTTGGATTAGGTGAAAACATGATAAACTGGGAGTCGATTTGTTGTGATGCGCTACGCCTTACGCGGGTAATTTGTTAGAGCCGGATCGGTCCTTTTTTTTCTTTTTGCTGAGAGTGGGTACGACTAACCTGCAATGGAATTTAACTTTACTCCTAGGAGGGTGGTTAAAAATGATTGCGGATATACGCGCATACGAGAGGCACTGGTTTACTCCCAATCCTCCGTTTAATTGTATTCAGTGTGCACTGTGCAGGGTCTGATAGGTGGAGGTAATGGATCTGTCTAGCTTCCAAAAAGAAAGCATCACCCTGGATACGTGTCGACCACAACTTTAAATGAACAGCAATGGACAACGTAAATGGTTGATAATGACCGTGCTGCCATCTCCCCGTTCGCGAATCATGAAGTTATGCTTCCTCACTGAGGCTCTTAGGCGGGTTATAGAGCATGACGGATGTGGGTTCCGCATTTTCAAGCAATAGTTGTCAACAGTTGATTGATGTTTTGTCAAAACATATTAGCATATACGGCAGTTCAGTGTACTTTATGTCCTTCTGATGTGCCCGTCGTTGCGTTTTCGCAACGCTGATGGCGCCCGGTGTGCCCTTCGTTGCGATTTCGCAACGCATGTTTTTTACGTTTTTCTCGAGAAACTTTTGCTGCAGGCAAAAATTATTTTCGATTCCATACAAGGCCCTGGTAGGAACATAACATATTTTGATTTCGTCGATTTTCATGATGGTCAATATTCCTGGGCATAAATGGGTTAAGCGGCCAGCGAAAGGTAAACGATTTATCCAAGAGAAAAGCAGAGGGCAGTGCATCTCGAACTCAACAATGGGAAACATACAGACCCTGAAAAGACCGACCTGTAGCCACGAAATCCGACCATCCGACCAATGACACTAACAGTCGCCGTATGCCTGCACACTCGGCCGGTACGGTTGCTTGGGACACGAGCGGGGCTGAAATTCCACTCCACAGGTGTACAACGATATATGTGAAGCATGAACAGCCGTTACGTAGCTGCTAATAGCCAAGTGTTACGGAATGTGTTCGACTCGATGCAAATTCCACGAGCACTGTAGATCGACCACTTCGAGATAAAGTAACACGCATACATGCGATAGACATATCCTGGGCTGTCATTCGAACATCATGAGCTCACATCGTATTGCGACACCCATCAATAAAGATATCGAAATAATTCACACTAAGTCGTAGCGTATGACATCTATATGGCATCCTACTCCTATCGGCCATCCCATCCTGTTACTTTTTTAATTGTTGAAAATGCAAAGCAAACATGATTCACCATTTATTGACATATCACCATGTAACACATACAAAATATCACACCACTACGCGAGGATGCAACTGAGAAACTCGCACTACAGGCCCGATGTGACTTTTCACCATGAAAGTACCTTCGATGTTGCGACAGGTGGAACATAAAATGAGACCTAATGAGTGATGCGATGAGAAGAAGCTCAGTGTCGTCAATGGCCACCAGATGACATACACCCACAGCGCATAAAAATAACACTCGCAAATACAGTGTCATCAAACACCAGCAAACGGAAACCATATGCACAATAATCGTCATACAACTCTGCCTAGGCACATTTCAGTCAAAACAGACGCCTATATTGAGGAGGATCACCACAAAACCGATGGGCACGAACCTATAAAAAATGCCGACAAAATGATCGCGATATTATGCTAGTCAGACGTAAATTATAATTTACGTCTAGTGGATAACTCACGGCTGCTAATTAGCAGCCGTGAGTTATCCACTACACACCACCGTGACAAAGACGAGCGTCTGCACGCACCGGTAGCAGCGGTAGGGGCAACCATCACCGACTGGAGCACGGCTGCAGTGTCCCAGGGGATCAGATAATGACCCAGGAGGGGGAGCAAACTGATTAGAAATCCCATTGGAGACGACCATTGATGATTCGGCTAGGGTGCCGGACGACTGGCTGCATACACGGCGACACAACACATCACCGGAACGAAATAGCATTTAACGGTTACAAGACAAACAAACTGTGACGTCATCATGCTGTTCGTACCTGAAAAAGGGTCGTTTCATGTCAGCATTACACCAAGGCACATTAAGCAAATATAAGCGTGACAGTGGGCGACAGTCGCTTTGCACACCAAAATAAAATTGCTTGTGATGCCAGGATGGAGCTGAAGTCATTTGTTTTGATATTTTTTGTGAGCAAGAAGTATATTACATGTTTCAATCACACTTACATATAAAAGAACGGAAAAAGCAGGCTAGGAGCTACGGTTTGCTCACTGCTCAGTTATCACGAGATTGAAAAAAAAATAATGAAAAGCCCATCAAAACATAAGTGCTGTGCCAATGATAAATGTGTCAGAGGCTGTTGCCTACTATATGCTGATTGCTGAGTTCATCATTTGGGCGGTTAACTTGCCAGTCCCAAATGCCCAGCACTCAGTGAGCGGCTGAGCGCCAATCGGTGAGTTCACATACAAGAAAAACAGCAGACGGAAGCAGTTTACTCACAGGACGACGCGGCAGTGTCGACAGAAGGCTCCTGCGCAGCGGGCGCACGTGGCGACGCAGGCGACACACAGCGGCGACTCGCAGAAGCTGCAGCTGACGGAGACGCCACCAGAGGGACAAGCGGCACACTTGCTCGGGCCCGCTGCTGCGCTGCCGGATCCCTGAGAACATCGGATGTTAGCCAGAGGCGATCCGACGATGCACTGCGGCTACCAATAGACATAGACCCAGTATTGATAAAAAACTTCAAACAGCAACATGACAACATTCATCTGCAACACACTGTTTGATCCAACAAACATTCGCCCATTGACCGTAATTATCTCTCTTACCGAACAGACTTCAGCCGGAGGGGCCAGCCGGATGCTGCCGTGCGCAGTTAGCGCCATCTGCCGCAGGTTGTTGGTTCTCGTTCGGTCAACAGGTGGCGCCACGGACATCTTGACCTGGCAGCTGGACACATTGTTGTTGGATAAGTTCCGCGATCCTTCCATCAGCAGCTGCATCGTTCTAGCTGAAAAAGATCAACAGGAAGGTGAAGGAAAGCACTAGGCATTACAATCAGACGCAGACTGGATATATCTGCAGCTAGGGAAGGTATTCAGTATTGTATTCACAGCTAGTAATGAATCTATATAACCAGTAAAACGCCTTTTGGGCGAAGAACGAGCGAGCGAGATAGTGAGCCCTGTACATGCGGAAGGGCGAGAGGGTACTTCCAACGGGCTTGTGCAAAGCACCCTTCTAACCGGTGGCTAGCGGTGTGCCAAATTTACACGCAATCGGCCCAGCCCAGCCGTTCCTGAGATCTGGAAGCGGCATTCTGCAAGTGCGCACGTGCAAACGGGGTCCAAAATGAATTTTGCACGGCACCCTACTAACCGGTCCTCAACCGTGTACCAAATTTGAGCGCAATCGGCCCAGCCGTTCTCGAGATCTGGAAACGCCCCCTGCACGTGCGCACGTGCAGTAGCACCCTAACCCTAACACATGCAGATGAATTATCTGATGGAGACCTAACTGTGTACCGAGTTTCAATTAAATCGGCCCAACCGTTGTGCCGTTATTGAGGTTGCAATTTTGGGGGTTCTTAAAAAATGTCCAACTTTACCACGCGCCAGGTGCGGTGGTTGGCAAGAACGCATGGTGGCCATTACACCACAGAACTTTTACGTCCAAGTGACATTCAGTTAAGAAGACCGCTTGTCAATCGGATGTCCCGTTCCTAAGATATTAGCTTTTGAAAAGCCCACGGCCGGCCGCTCATACTCAGGATTTTCCCTTAATTCAGTATGAACTCGCTCGCTCGCTGCGCTCGCTCGCTCGTAAAAACGCCATCTAGATAAAACATTGTCATTGTCAATGGGACCGTGATGGGTATATCAATAACCAACACAAGTAACTTTACCCTTTACCTAGGCCCCGGTCTGCAAACTGCAAAGCATGTTAATTTCGGGATCTCGTCGGTGCGGGCTTGTTCAGGTGGTGCGGATTTGGTGGGGGTGCCGTGCGAATTTAGCTTGGTAACGGATATGGCGGACTAGATAAGATAGATGAAAAACATTGCTAAAGCTTCGACATGTAATTCAGTGTGCTCTCGGGTCTAAATGAGCGGTTGGTGGCCAGGACGGACTATGCCAGCGCTGGTGGTCCCATTAATCACGTGGGTTGTCCCCTGCTGTGACCCAGGCAGAGGCTTACGCTAATCACAATCATGTTCGTTCGCCCCCTCCCCCCCCTCTAAGGTTCAGGGTGGCATGGGACAGGAGAGGGATGATGCAGCCCCATCCACGTTTCCACAGTGTCGGCTGTCCCCGGTAGCAAGTGCCACTGTTACAACAGGAAACGGACTGACTGCCCAGGTGGGTGACCAGTGACGTTACATTGTCGTCAGCCGCGTCCGGCGCATCCGCGTAGGCGCCCGCTCGGCTCTGCGAGGCGCGGCGGTCGGTAAGATGAGATGAGCACGACCAATGGGAGAGATTCGAGATGCGCATGGCCGATGGGAGGGCTTGAAGACCACCCCTCCACCGTTTCAAGCCGCAAAAAAGGTATACTGTGAATGGTTTATCGGGTATGTTTCACGCAACTAATAAGTTTGTCGAAAATTTAAGGTCGTTGTGTTATGCAGCATTAGTAAATGAGAGACGCTCAACTCATGTGAGGGTTTGGTAAGGCTTGACGTTGTCACTCAGTGGCAGGGGCAGCGCAAGATGCACATGGCTGCTGCCTGCTGGCTGGCCTTGAGAGCCACCAGACCACCACTTTTCCGCGGCTCAAGCAGCAGAGTCCGCTGTGAATAATTTGTCCATCCATCTTATTTGTTCAACACAGCTAATGAGCTGACAAGTGACGCCAAAAATACATGCATGCGATGGCTCACTTTTCCCAATCATATTTTTTTATAATGGGCCTTAACCCTCGCCGGCACAGGCCATTTTCAGTCCTTCAACGGCACAAGGGGGTGTTGGTACGACCCCCCCCTCGCGTTTGGCCCCTGATGGAGCTAGAGCTTCACGGAAAAACGAGCATGTTGCCCGTCACAAGAGGAAGCCAATGATACCCAATTTTAAGGTCCTAGGTCATCGGTTGACCTTCCAGGTCAGGTCAATGACCCAAAATCGGGAATATCGCCTATCGGGACCTGTTAGTCATAAAGCGTGGCTTATTTCAATTTATTTTTAGTAATTCAGTGATGCGTGCACTGCTATGAGCCGGAGGGCACCTGTCCGGCCTCTCCCAAACGGCCACCTCACCTGAAGGGTTAGTGCGGATATTGAACTTGAGCTGCTGAGCATCAATCTGCGACTTGCGAGCCATAGTGTCAGCCCGGGCCAGGGCGATTTATGAAATTGTTGGGTTTACTAGTTAAATGAAATTGAATTCATGTCCAAAACAGCTACGAAAAAAGTTGAAACCGATTACATCCCAATATCAAAAGATGCAAAACCTACCATAAACGTTATGCATGTTGGCAGTGTGGTTTACGCCGCGGTTGACTTCCTTCTCTCCGATATGCATCTTTGACTGCACGGAGAAAAGATCATCAAAGGGAAATGACCTCTTCATTGCACTAAAACTTTCTTTAATTTTTCGTATATCTATGAGACAAAAATGTCGAAATTCTGTCCTTTCTGTCTCCTTCTCTCCAACTGAAACATTTTTTGAAACAGAAATTTTCTCTTAGAAAGACGAATGCGCTACTAATGTATCAAACGC